CTCCTGGCTGTCTACCCAAGAGGACCGAGCACACACATCCACACAGAAACTCACACTGCAGTGCTCAAAGGAGCATGAGCCACAGTAATCACAAAGGGGAAACAACCCGTGTCCATCAGCTGAAGACTGGATACACAGATACGGTCCCTCCGCACACTGGAATACTACTCGGCCATGAAAAGAAGAGAAGCCCTGACACTTGCTGCCACGTGGACGGGCCCTGAGAGCACCGTGCTCAGGGAGAGAAGCAGACACAGAAGGACACACAGTGTGTGAGTCCATGGATGTGAGGCGTCCGGAACAGGCCAGTCCCCAGACCCAGGGAGGGGGCTCCTGGCTGCCTGGATGAGAGGGAAGGGGAGTGACTGCTAACAGGGTTCTTTTTGGGGTGATGGCATAGTCTGACATTAGTGGTGATGGTTGCACAACCTTGTAAATACACTAAAAGCCACTGAATCGTGCACTTCAGAAGGGGGAATTTGGGGGTAGAGAGATTTTTGGGCTTGGTGGTAGAGGGAGCGCCAGATCCTGGATTCAATCCCCAGTGTCTCTGTTAAGGGGGAAAAATATGATATATATGTAACTGCATAAAAATATATATTTATATATATACATATAATATATAAAATTATATATTTTATATATACATATATATGGGTGAATTTTATGTTATGTGAATTGCATCTCAAAAAGAAAATTACAGGGGGGTTGAGCCAAGATAGTGGAGTAGAGAGACTTACAGCTCCCCCTCTCCCATAAGTGTACCAAGAATTTCATCTACAAACCCACTGAATCGCACAGAACAGCTACTGAACTCTGGCAGAGTCTCTCACTTCTAAACACAGGAAGGTTCTCACAAAATCCGATAACCAACGTGTTTATACTGTACAGCACAGGGAACTATATTCAATATCTTGTGGTAAGCTATGGTGAAAAAGAAAATGAAACGAACATATGTATGTTCACGTATGACTGAAGCCGTGTGCTGTACACCGGAAACTGACACAACATTGTAAATGGACTGTACTTCAATAAAAATATATAAGAAAGACAATTACAAAAAGAAGCACTTATTGAGCTGGAGAATAACCACACAAATATAATGTAAAGATTTTTGATACCCAAACCCTCCCATTTGTAGAGTGCCTGCTGTACGCCAGGCCCTGCACACACAGAAGTGCAGGCAGAGGGCCAGCCTTCTCTCCTAGGGTCACATCCATTGAGGGGGCACAGGTGGGCTGAATGTTGCTCCTCCCCGGAGGCCCTGCCGGGCCTGCCACCCGTCTTCTCCTCCCTCTGTTACCCTGTTTGTCTGCATGGTCCAACCACGGGAGACTGCAGTGCATCTAAAACGCTCTTCACGCTGCCTGTCTCCTGCTGCTGGTTGGAAACTCTCCAAGGCCTTTACCTTTGTCAACCTGACTTCAGAGCCTAGGTCTGGGCCTGAGGGATGGCACTTGCTGGATGAACATCTGTGTATCCCATAAGAATAGGCGGCAATAATTGAGGACGCACCGTGAGAGACTGTGCGGGGCTGAGTGTGGACGGATGGTCAAGGTGACTGGGGTCGGCGGAGGGAGTGACTTCAGACCAGGACAGGTGACATTTAAGCTGACACCCTGCACTGGGTTGAACTGTCTTCCCTCCAAAAGATAAATTCAAGTCCTAATCCCAGTATCTGGGAAAGGGGCCTTCTTTGGAAATAGGGTCTTTGCAGATGAGGTTACATTGGATTAGGGTGGCCCTAAATCCAATAACTGATGTCCTGGTAACAAGAGGGGAGTTTAGACTCACGCAGAGATACACACAGAGGGAATAAGGCCATGTGAAGGCAGAGGCAGAGGTTGGAGCGGTGCATTAAGTAGCCAAGTATTGCCGGGGCCCCAGAAACGGGGAGAGGCAGGAAAGACCCTCCCTTGGAGCCTTCAGCAGGAAGGATGGCCCTGATACACCTTGATTCCAGGCTTCTGGCCTCCAGAAACCAGAAGATAAATTTCTGTTGTTTTTAAGCCACTCCGCTTGTGGTATTTTGTATTTGGCCCCAGGAAGCTAACACAGACCCAAAGGATGACCAGGAGAGGATCATAGATGTCAGGGAAGGAGGGTTCCAGACTGGAAGAATGTCAGTGCAAAGGCCCTGAGGCAGGAGCAGCTGGCAAGGCTGGGGGGGAGTGCATGGGGTGGGGAGAGGGTGATGCATGGGAGGGGCCATGGAGGCTGGATGGTGTGGCTGGGGAGGAACAGATGCCAACGCGCCTGGGCCTTTGCACCTGCGCCTTCGGAGCTGCTCTGTCTCTCCTGAAAGCCAGCTGGGCCCCCCTCCCCCATCCCCACACTCTGCTGCAGCCCAGATCTGGGGCCAGGGTGGGTAGGGGTGGGGAGGAAACCGCCAGATGGCCGCTGGAGGGAGCTGCTCCATTGGCTGGGTAGCTATTTTCAGCATCTTAGCAGCTGAAGCGCCCCCAGGCATCCCCTGACTCCCCTTGGCCCAAGCCTGCTGCCTGTTCCCTCACTGTTCCCACAGGCCTGGCTGGGCAGCGACCCAGCCTGAAATCCTCATCGGCTGAATGCCCTTGAGGCGGCTCCCACCTTCCTGGGCCCCTCTGGGAATTTCAGGTGAGAACTAACACACACAGCTCTGAGTAACTCTTTGCTCAACGCGAGAGGGAGATTATTTGTAAGTGGAGTTTGTACTTTGTAGATGGCATCCAGTTAAGATGAGGTCACACTGGAGACGGGTGGGCCCTGATCCAATGACTGGCGTCCTTATAAAAGGGGAACTATGGATGCAGACGCGCAGGGAGGACGGCCACGTGACTGAGGCAGAGTTTGGAGTGGTGCAGCTATGAGCCAGGGAACACCAAAGGTGCCAGTAACCAGCAGCATCTGGAAGCAGCAAGAAAAGATCGCCTCCTCCAGTCTCTGGAGGGAGCACAGCCCTGCTGACACCTCGGCTTCGGGCGTCTGGTCTCTGGAACAGAGGGAATGAATGTGTCTGGTTTTAAGCCACCCTGTTTGTGGTATTTCTTCATGGCAGCTGCAGGATGTATCTGCAAGACCAAATGAGTATCCATGTATTCGTGAGAAAAACTCACACGTGGGAGCAGAGTGGCGTGAACAAGCGTTGCTGGAACAGCAGTGTTGTTTGGAACAGCAAGAAAACTGAACTAACCTAGAAACTCATCAAGAGGGGACCAGTTGAATAAACTGTGGTCCATGCCTGCCTCAGAACACAGGGAGACGTGTATGCATCAATGAAGAAAGGCAGTGGAGATGTAGTCATATGGGGGGTGCTGTTCCAGAACTAACCTAAGTGCCCATCAGTGGGGGATTGGTTACATAAACTGGTCCATGCATGCTGTGGGGTCGAAGAGACTCACTCATACTCAGCAGAAGGAGAAAGCTGAGGTCCATGTACATGGAGGAAAAATGAACTAACCTAAGTGCCCATCAACAGGGGTTCCAAGA